TGAACTGTTTTTTTAATTTTAATCACGTTTCTTTAATAAGAAATCAATATTTCGTTTAAATAATATTACGAATTGATAAGAAATAAATAAATTACTAAAAAATACGAATTAAAAAGATTATTTATTTTTATGAAAATATTCATCGCGTGTAATTGATAATCGTATTAAACTGAAATTTTATTTTTTGCAGACAGCGAGAGACGAACGAGCTGCCTCAAGTCCAGGTGGTGCAGGTGGACAAAACAATCACTCATCTTCATCTCCATCGCCCTCTCCTGTCGGCGATATACCTCTTGGACGAGCCCTTATGGAAGCCGCACTTCAACAGGCCACTTCCGGCTCTCAGGAACCACCCCTAGTAGTAACGCCACCTGGTTATTGGCTAGACGGAACCGATCATCGACATACCTTGGATTCGGCAGGAAGAGCGTTGCTTCCTGCCCAGCCAGCCTGGCAACCCAGGATAGACCAGGATGACACTGCTAAGTGTTACAGACGTTTCTTCGTTGGCAGAGTACGTAAATATAATTCAAAAAATATCTCACTTAAGCTTTTATTAATAGATTAAAAATATGATACTAATCTCAAACACATGCAATGTGAATCATTTGATTATATTTATTAAAACATGTGTGCTGTTTTTGTTCACAAAATTGGATAATTAGGTAACGATGAATAATTTCATTTTGTATTTTTTGTTTTTTTTTTTTGTTTTCTTCTTCTTGTCTTTCCAACTTTGTCAAAGAATTCGTTCTTTCGTAATGACCTTGAAAGAAAGATGGTCATCGGCCTAACAGCACTAAACATATATATATATACTGCTCGTAAACGTACGTACTACGTACGCAAGTTTTATGTGAAGATGGAGTGAGATGGAGATTATGCTTTGAGTAGAAGAAAGGAAGAAAGAGAGGAAGAAAGATAAAGATGGTGGCGCAGAGGCGCAGGAAAAGGAAAAGAGCACTTCGGGCGTGGGAGTGGGAATGTTCTCATAGTCTCGAAGAAGAGACGATGCCACTTCAACCAGAAGAAATATCACCCCCATACCCCTTTACTTCACCAGTGTTCCTGATTTTCATCCTTGCTAGAGCTTCTCTTCCGTCTTTAACCGCGACCTACACCCTTTCCCCCCCCCCCCACACACACACACACACACCTCTTTCTTACACTTATTATTTATCTTTCTTCGAACAGAATTAAAGAACTAAGCACTTTTTTTTAACAACTTTTATTTTCATCGTATCGTTAACAATGGCTCGTGCTTATTTTTTTTTTTATATAGATAATAATTAATAATACTTGTTACTGCATACATGTTGGTACTATTTCTATGCATAATTACACACAAGTATATTTATAGTATTAAAAAATTAAAATACAAGAATAGTAGTACTATAAAGATAATAAAAATACTTACTAAGAAAAAGTAGATGTTACTATAAATATATATATAATGATACAATAAATACAAATAAATGGAGACGAATGAAAGTAAAATATGAAAAGAAAAAAAAATGATAATAGATGAAATAAAAAAAAAAATATATATATATATAATAAGACTTTAGATCGTTAAAAAAAAAAATAAAAAAAAAACGTCGATGAGTGAAAATAGCTAAAAGTGCATTTTCCCATTCTCTTTTAATAGTTCATTCTTATCTAAGAAAGTTCACCTGTTACCTTTGTCTAGCGTGCACCTGGGTTATATACCTCTATTTTTACCGCGAACTCTTAAAACTCGTTAGGTAACGTAACACGAGCGAGATAATATACGTATGAACTCATTTCTTCACGCGGCAACGTGCTCGAGTTCGTCGCCATTGTTCAAAAGTGGCAGTAAATAATTACACTACGTGTCATAGAGAACGAAAAGCGATTTGTATCGAGCCGTAGAGAGTCTACGGCTACATATCGTAAATATGAACTAGGTATAGTGTATATTGTATGTATCATGGTCGGATCTCATCCAATTTCGCTTTCATTTTTTATTTTATGATAATATATCCTTGTTGAAGAAATTAATTTCTTTTTATTGCGTTCTTGAGTGTGGCATACATATATATATATATATATACATAAGTGTAGCTACAAATTTCTTATCACCGGATATGCGTTCGACGGGAAATGCTAAGAAAAAGAATGAAAAAAAAAATATTACTTGAGAAATCTCTTTTCACAGATCATTCCAATTATTTATTTCTATCTCATCTCTAATATCCGTCTGTCTGTCCTTTGTCAATATCATTGCCGTTACGCGATAACCTTTTTTTTTAAAAGGAAATCCAAAGGATTGCCATAAATATCTCATCAAGTAGTACGATAAGTTTAATAGGGCCATGTCAGCTTTGCTAAACTTGAAAAGAGACACATGCCATAGGACAAACTCTTTTTTTTTTTATATTTCTTCAGTATATCAAATTTTATCTATAAAAAAAAAAAAAAATATTATTTTGTCTCAATCGATATAAAATTTTTCAAATAAAAATAAACTTTATTGACATTGCCCTTTTTCACTGTTATTTTCCATACCAATGACCTAACGAGTTTTTCTTTTTCTCTTTTCTCTTTTCTCTTCTTTGTGTTATTATTTTATGTTTTTATTTTGTTCTGTTTTTTTTTTTTTTTTTAATAATTCTTCGAAAAGGTTACGATCTTTTACGTATACAAAGGCTACACTATCGAAAGGATGCATATACACCTATCTACACATGCGATCGCATTGTGCGGTTAAGCAGAGCCCATTAAAAGAGCAATTTTATTATGCGCAATATCGCTCCTCTAATTAGCGGTCGCCTCGAATACCAACGCGTAATCCGTTCTATATCACGACTTATTAAAGCCACCACACGCCTCTTCTATCACCTTTAGTTGCGTATTACAAATACAAAAAAAAAGAAAGAGAAAGAAAACGAGAGACAGAGAAAGAGAGAAACAACGAACATTACAACTCTTTTCTTCGCCTAATAACACACTCAAATTTAATTTATCAAACACCATATTGTTGTAGCTTTTATAAAATCCATTTTCACTCTCTTGAATCATTTCAAAAGTATTAAATTATTCGAAATTGTAATATTGAAATATTTTTAATCAAAATTGAAATGAATCACGAAATATAAAAAAAAAGAAATAGACCACTATTTTTATACAGAGTTCATAAAATTATAATATGAGCAAAATTATATATTATATATCCTTTATATATTAATACGTGTATGAAATTTAATATTGTTACATCGTCCTAAAAATTTTCTAGTTTTTTTTTTTATTTTTTTTTATTTTATTTTATTAATTTTACGTGCGTAGTATTTTATATTTAATGTTATTATAATAACATACAGCATATATAGAAAAAGATGATGGAACAAACTTAAATCGTAAATCATTCAATAAAATAACATTTAAAAAATATCGGACTTGTAAACCTTATTAATAAAAAATAAAAAAAAAAAAATAAAAACAAGAAATTTTCAACACAATCCAAATATATATTTAATCGTTAATTTTTAAATTTTATAATAATTAGTTTTAGGAGTCACTGATTTAGCCATTGCTAATTCGATCATAAAAAGGTTTCAATTATGTTTTTCTTATTTTTTCGTAGGAACATGTGAACCTGATAGGAAGGGACAGCGAGAATGGGCCGGTCCTTGTTTCAGTGAAGGCCGAGACGGTCGCTGGTCAAGAACACTGGCGGGTATTGCTAAGATTACGTGCTGGTTCAACGCACGAGTTAGTCTCAGCATCTACTCTTGGACCAACTCCTTCACCAGCGAAAATGGTCAAGGTAAAAGAATTATTTTCTTCTCAACCAAATAAATAAATAAATAAATAAATAAATAAATAAACAAATGACAATGATCTAACATTTGCTCTGATATTGAAGATATAAAATAAATTATATTTTAAATCGAAAAGAAATCAAATGAGCATACGTATTGTTAATGAGAATCGCTTATTCGTTTTTATTGAACTCTCAGTCTTGTATGATAGGGGTTAATAAGACAAATATCACTTTGAATCGTGAGTAATTTAACAACTTAGAATTTTTTGACTCGTACAAGAGCAATGTGTCACGTGTGTCGAATTGACGAAAATAAATCACCCTTACCAAAGTACAAAAGTACGCGATGACAGAAATAAAGAGTAAGAGACAAAAAGAAATATGACCGTCGTGTTTTTTTTTTCAGGCTATCAACGACTCCTTGAACGTGAACACTTTAATGCCAGTGGTATGTTCAGGGGCTGGCACTTTGATAGCTCAATATGACGAACACGCACTCGTTTCGAGATTCAAATTTGGTGTACTTCATCAACGTGCTGGACAGCTGACCGAGGAACAACTTTTTGGCAATCGCCAGATGACACCAGCTTTCCAAGAATTTCTTGATCTTTTAGGCCAAAAGATCGATTTGAAAGATCATAAGGGGTTGGTATATCGTCATATAATTTTACTTACACGCTCTAATTTTAGCAATGATTTAACAGTTTACTCAATACAATAATTAAATTTGTAGATACCGTGGAGGTTTGGATACTCGACATGGTCAAACAGGTGATTCCGCGGTCTACGAAGTATTTCGTGGCAGAGAAGTTCTCTTTCATGTAGCATCGCTTTTACCATACAGTCCAGGTGATGCTCAACAATTACAACGCAAAAGACATATTGGTAATGACATTGTGGCGATTATATTCCAAGAAGAACCTACACCATTCAGTCCAGATATGATCGCCAGTCACTTCTTGCATGCTTTTATCGTCGTGCAGGTCGTCGATCCATGTACACCTAACACAAGGTAAGTGCAATATATCATTTAAAGTAATTTAAATAAAATTCTTTGAAAAAAATGTATAATCAAGTTATTTATTGTTTATAGGTATAAAGTGAGTATAACGGCGAGAGATGATGTTCCTTGGTTCGGCCCAGCCTTACCAACACCTGCTGTCTTCCTCAGAGGCGTCGAGTTTAAAGAATTTCTTTTAACAAAATTAGTGAACGCTGAAAACGCAGCTTACAAAGCTGAAAAGTTTTCTAAACTAGAAGTAAGTCACAATTTCTTATTCTATTTTAATATCATTTTAAACATACATATGATTATTAATCTCTATGATATGATAATCAGTTACGAACTAGATCTGCTCTATTGGAGTCATTGACGGAAGGATTACAAGCGAAGACAGCGGAGTTCTTAGGTGGTACCATTGGCCTAGGAGGTAATTTAGGATTCGGTGCGAATTGTCCTGTCAGTCCAACTGCAAGTGATTCATCAGCTTCCGGTGGTGGAGGTACTGGCTCGAGATTTATCGATACAGTACGGAAAGCATTAATATCTCGAGTGAGAAACGCATCAACCGAAAGTGTACCGACACAACTTGCTAAAAAAGGTTCTCATTCTGAACCAAGTCCACCGAGTAATCGACAATCCAATGGCAAAATCAGTGGAAAACGATCTGTTGAACCATCAAGTCCATTGGGTTCACCCGATTTAACTCTACGAAGGGATTCCGAAAGAGGTAGCCCCAGTTTGGGAAGTCAAGACAGTAGCTTATCGAATACAGACAATCAGGACAGTAGTTTGGCTACATTACAACAAGACGAGGTAGATCGTAGAGAATCTAGTACAGGAATTGGTACAAATGATTCCACGATAATGGAAAAGGTTAATACGGTATCCTCTGTTCAACGATTAACTCATGAAAATTTAAGAAGACAGGAACGAACAGAAAAGACCGAAATAACTCAACGCGTTGTTTCCGAGAGCGACGATAGTTCGCTTAACAGCGAGCTTGAACTTGACCAAGCGGTTTATCCAGACAGCGACACTGGTCTTGAATCTATGAGTTCCGCGGAAACGCACGACATTACGAGGTGTAATGCCAAAGAAGGTGCTACGGAAACCGAAACTTTAAAGCTGGAAGTTACTAGACTTAAGTGCGATAAATTGGACTTATTAAGGCAAAATGTGGTGAGTTTAGAAAACTAAAATCTTTTCAATTCATAATTGCGTATTAGAAATATCCAAAAGATTCTGTCGAATATGAAAGATGTTGTTGATTAAATATATTTACTTTTCTTATCATTCTAATTCGACATTTTATAATAAAAATAAAAACATTTTCCGATAAACTACGTTAATACTATTCTAATGGAATATATTTGTAATTTAAATTATTTTGCTTTGTTCTAACAGACATGTCAACGTGACATTAAACGACTTCGAGAGAAAGAGCTACAATTGCAATCTGATTTGGCAGCAGCATCAAAAGAAATTCTTCGATTAAGGGCGATGCTGAAAGAATGTTCGACGAGTATTCCCTTGGATAACAACAATCAACAGACGTCTACCGTTTGAAGGATCGTTAAACGCATTTTTTGATTCGTTATCGCTAACAGAGTTTCCCGTTAAAGATTGCTATGTTTTAATCGTCGAATGGGAACCGACCAAATCGCATATTTCGTAGATCTTCCACTCTTCTGAGATGATGTTTCTCTTAAAAGGAAATCATTTGAAATATCTCGTTGTTGGATACATACATATATATATATATACATACGAGAAACTAGCAATCAATGCTTTCTTCCTCGGTTCGCTTGTACAACTGAGTTTTCTTAGATAGCAATTGGTACAAATTCGATAAGTCATAAGGGATATGTAATTAGAATGTAAAGTCAAAGTCACTGTTCTATCGAAGTTTAACTCGTTATTGGAACGTACAACAGTATAGATTCTGATTGTTGAAGTACTTGTTTAACTTATATCCCAAATATTTATCGATTAATTTATTGATAGATATAAGGTAATCCCTTGTAGTCAATATAGTTAATAATTCTATAGATATAAAATACCAACCGCGATACAAACATCTTGTCATTATAATATTAGTCACTTTTCAAAGTGAAATGGCCTTTAGATCTAGCATTTGTGATGCTAAAAGAAGCACCGCAAAAAATAACGCACCAATGTATATGACCATGTATTAGTTAAGTGTAGTTCATTTAACTCCGATTATCTTACTCGCACACATCAAACCTAGTATACATATATATATATATATATATAATATGTATACTGTTTTAAGTGATTATAATACGAACGTCTACTAAAATCTAATTCAAAAATTCAGATTTGTTAATTTAACGATTAAAGTCTAATAATAATAATAATATATCTTAACAAATTCACAACTCTTCAATACCTAAACTAATATGAACATGTCACGACGCAGTAATAGTTTCTCAATAATACGTTGGCACATTAGTAAATTATAAATGTCACACAAATTAATACTTCAATAAATACTTTCATAACGCGCGCGTGCGTCTCTTTAAATCGAATTACATATACTTCGAATGAATCTAATAATCACTTTTCTAAGTTATAATAGTAAATTCTTCCATGATATATATGTATATCTAAAACGGTCAGTGCGTTAAAATGAACATTGAAACAAGCAACACATATTGTTTACCTTTTGTTAGTATTAAAAAAAAAAAGAAAGAAAAAAAATTGAGTATCATTTGCTGCTTGATTTTGTGCTATGTTTCCGTTAATTTTTTTATTTATAGTATTAAAATATAATTTTTATATATACATTTATATATATAGATATATATATATAAAATATTTTATATATTAATAGTATTTTATATTAACAATAATCTTTTAATTGATATAGCTTGTGTAAATAATCGATCGTCCAAGTAGATTCATATATTGACAGAATTTAGAGAGAAAAGAAAAAAAAAAAAGAAGAAGAAGAAGAAGAAAAAGGATTACAACGTTTACTCGACACACGTAAAATACCAAAGCTTAATATAGTTGAAAGCCATTTCTTTTCTTTCTCTACATTCCTTTTCATACAATATAACATTGAGTTACATGTAGAATATACTATGTATCGTCTACCTTCGGCACTTGCGAAATCTTTATTATTATTATCATTTAAATTTCTTTTTTCAAAGCATTAAAGGTGCACATATATATATATATATTATATATATTATGAATACTTTGCTAAAACACCATGGATATCACTGCCTACACAGTATCGCTTTACAATTTCATCTTTGTCATTTTTTATGAAATAATATTTCTCTCGTCATCTTATTAATGTCAATTCAAATTGATAAAATATAATTTATTATAAATCATCAATTCGCTATATTTTTTCATTGATTTTTCTAACAAACGAACTAAATTATTCTTTTTTTTTTTTTAAATGTTATAATAATGTATATATTGTAAAATTTGAATTTAGTGTTATTATGATTCAACTCTGTAAGCAGTTTCGTTATTTTTGTGTTCTATTTTTTCTGTCGACAAAATTTAACTAAATAATATTGTCTGGTGTGATTCTTATATTGGCCTTGTTAAAATCAAAGAAAGATGATTTATATTACAAAGAGATACGCGTTATTACTACGTTTTGAGAGAGAAGAAGAGAAAGAAAGAAAGAAAGAGAAAAAAAGAGAGAACGAACGAACGAAAGAAAGAAAGAAAGAAAGAAAGAAAGAGAGAGAATGTGAAAGCGTCATTAAGTACGCATGCGCGAAAGAGAGAAAAAGTATACTATTGCTATAAATATATATTTTGTATTTAAATATTAATTATTCGAATCTAACTAACTGAACTGCGGATGCTAATTATTCTCTAATACTAAAATAGGAATATATATATATATATATATATATATATATATATATTTCTTATGACTGGTAAAGAGAACATAGAGATTATTCGCATATTCTGTATTTTCTTGTTTTTTCTTTTGTTTTTCTTTCATATATATATATAATATATATTTTCTTTTGTAAAATGCACAATTGTGTCGACTCTTATTATATCAGCGATAACTGATGTTCACCAATAAAAAAAAATAAAACCGATATAAATAAATATTTGTTCTTTTCTTCGATTAGATCCTTTGCAAATTTTTCTACAATGTGTTGTTAAACAAATTATAAGAAATATTTAAAAAGGAATGTTATATATCAAACATAAAATAAACATTATTTATTTCTATCGATTTATTTTATCTTGACACATTTTATTCTACATTTGTGCAAATAAAACTGTGTTCAGTTCTTATTACAAAATAACATTATCTTTCTAATGCTACTGTAGTTAAGGTATATTATAATGCTGGATCAAAATGTAAAGTTTAATGTATAAATAAACAATTTCAGAGAAATGAATATTAATAATTATGTAATTCATATTTCATTTTTGTTTATAATATTAATAATTATTACGTATCACATAAATTTTATTGACGTTATTTATTAACAAATAAAATAAACAATATAATATATATATATATATATATATATATATATATATATATATATATATATAACATTTTATTCAATAAACGATATAAGATAATAAGAAACGCTTACACGTAGTAAACTTATCGTAATAAAATCGATTTGTCGTTCATTCGAATTTATTCTTAGACGATAGGCTATCTTCTATGATAGGTGATTTACGCAAGGCCAGGTTAGAGTATTAAAACAGCTTTATGAAAGTAGGTCACTTAAGAAGTATAATTTCCCCCTAATTTTACACAAATTATTTCCAGATACCTCAATGAAGGGTAAAAGACAAATTTATCCGAGGCCACTGAATGTCTCTTGTTAACCGATATAAAAATAAAGTGCTCCCTTTGATGAAACGAAAAGAAAAACAAGAAAAGATTACACTCGAAAGATTATTTAGATAAATATTATCAAAGAATAGGATACAGTTATTCATCTGTAATACATAATAAAGCAATATCTAATAAATAAGAAAAAAGAAAAAAATAAATAAATAAATAAGCAGTCAATACTTTTGTGTGATAAAGAAGAAAAGGAGCCAGTCGATAATGTCGGAATTTACTAATATCTCGAAATTTAAATTTCCCGCCGTTATAAAATTATAATAAGCCTTACAACAGTTCGAATTTGCGCGGGAAAAAATGAAATGTAATTTAAATTTTCAACTTATAAATAAAGAAATAAATACAGACTTATCGTTGATCAACGAAACGTTAAAAGAGATAAAAAAAAAAAAAAAGAAAGGATTCAAATGAAAAGATCTATGAAAAAAAAGATACGTAAAAAAAGAAAGATTCTAAACGATCGACGGAGTAACCCTTTTATTTAACACAGCAGCGCCACGCCCGACACTGCCCTCTAAACTGCATAGTCCGTGAAGTATGTTTATTACCGACAATACGAAATTGGCCGAAGTGGTAGACGAAAATGGTTAATTGTCAGGCTCGTTAGTTCAGCAGGTGAGCGATCAATTATTACGAAAATTGGCGTGTTATTTGTTCTCGGGATGTACAATACGGTCGGCATTTACAAAGTCTCGTGTGAAACATTAAAGGAGTACGAACCTTTGCACATTATCGCCATAGATTCATGGCATGTATCATTGAAATCACCTTTTCGAGACCGTTTGGTCTATTCGTTTCCATCACCCCCTCCCCTCTCTCTGCCTCTAATCTAACAAAAGAATTTTTAATTTCTTTCCTGGCGATATTGAAGCTACCTCCGTGACATGTCTTTTCACGTTCAAGCACAAACTCACCTAGAATATCGATAATCTCGTGACAATCATTGAAAAGAAACAATACGCGTTAACCTCGGGACACATCAGCAAGACGTAGATTAATTTATTACACCCATTCAGAAAACATACGTCCTCTCTCGTTGTTCTTCGACACACACACACACACACACACACGACATACATACATATGTACACATACACACCTCATACATACATTCGTACATAGTTATACATACATACACACATAGCACGTACATAAATATATATATATATATACATATATATATTATATATATATTTATTTATTTATTTATATATACATACAAGCACCGCGCACGCACGCAATGTGCACACTTACACATACACACAGTATACTACATATAACATAGTACACACGTATAAAATCGTGTCTTCTGTTGGTCGCGTGGAAAAAGTGACATGCATGATAAATTTCGATATACTTCAGTATGTGCGTTTGTATTGGAGCACCAGACAGTATAGATGTGTAGCAGGTGCAATGTTGCATCCCCCTGATGCGCGCGACTACGTTTATATAGTAGCTCTAATGTCATACCGAAGGCTACTTCTTAGTAATTCACAAAGGGTTCACTCTTCCGTAAAGTACAGTATATGGGTACTTTCCAGGCGATACCTAGCACATACCTTGCTAGAAAAATATTTGTAGAGACTTGATGGAACAAGAGCATGGCTTCTGGTGCATCATCCTTGGGTAGCGCTGGAGGTAGTGGTGAGTTTTCTTTCTACATTTATTATTAATTCTCATATCGTGAAAAAGAAAAAACATAACGATCTTGTTATGTTGATCTTCATTAATATCAAAACACATCTTTAACTTTATAGTATATTATTATTTCTAGGTAATACGCTTGACTAAATAAGCATTTAATCTATAATACTTACACAAATTAGGACAACATTTCTATTAGTATTATAATTGTTTTTATTATATATCGGCTTTCTAAAATTTGGAAGATCATTCATAGTTCTTTGCTTAATAAATAGTGATGAATCATGATGCTTACATGCGTGACCTAGAGTTTCTTTTCTGGTGAAAGCTAATAAGAATTTTGATTATAATGTTTCGTCTAGTGGAACAAGTATTCGTTGGTTTGAATCTTTCCCTCCATTAATTAAGATATTACGTATTGATGTTGTTATCTTGCTAAATCTTTCTTCCGACATTATATAATTTATATTTAATAATCATACTTTATATAAAAATGTCTAATATATCTATCTCTCTTTTTTTTTTTCTAGATGGAGCACTAAACATGGGTAAGAAGCACATTGACAAGATTTCATTTTTATTATAAGTTTTCTTTGTTGTAGTGCTCGATAAGTTTGTCTACAAAGTATCGGTCAGTTTTCTT